TTATTTTCTAACTTCGGTCAATATTGTGGGATTTAATAGTACATACTACAACCTGCATTTCATTTACTTGTCTGTTTATATTTTTTTGTGCGTGTATGGCTGTACCCCTCTAGATTGAAAGCCCCAGGGCAGAAAGGACTCCATCTTTCTGTTTTTCTGTTCAGTACTGTAGCCTGGTACAGTGCTTGTCACACAGTGGGTTTTCTTTTCTTTTCTTTTCTTTTTTTTTTAGCTTTTTAATGTTTATTTATTTATTATTTTTTTTACAAATAGTTTATTGTCAAATTAGTTTCCACATAACAGTGCTCATCCCCAAAGTGTCCTCCTCCATGCCCGTCCCCCCCCCCCACATCCATCAGTCCTCAGTTTTTGTCAGCATTCAAGAGTCTCTCATGGTTTGTCTCTCTCCCTTTCCCCCACCATTTCCGCCCTTCTTCTCCCGCTTGTTCCTCCGTCAAGTTCCTCCTAATCCTCCTATACGTGCAAACATATGATATCTGTCGTCCTCTGCCTGACTTATTTCACTCAGCATAACACCCTCAAGGTCCATCCATGTTGCTACACATGGCCAGATTTCATTGTTTCTCATTGCCATGTAGTAGTCCATGGTATAGATAAACCACATCTTCTTGATCCATTTGTCTGTGGATGGACACTTAGGCTCTTTCCATGTTTTAGCTATTGTGGAGAGTGCTGCTACGAACATTGGGGTACATGTGCCCCTATGCCTCAGCATTCCTGTATCCCTTGGGTAAATTCCTAGCAGTGCTATTGCTGGGTCATAGGGGAGTTCTACTGTTAGTTTCCTGAGGAACCTCCACACTGTTTTCCAGAGGGGCTGCACCAGTTTACATTCCCACCAACAGTGTAGGAGGGTGCCTGTTTCTCCACATCCTCACCAGCATCTAGATTTCTCTGATTTGCTCATTTTAGCCACCCTGACTGGCGTGAGATGGTATCTCAGTGTGGTTTTGATTTGTATTTCCCTGATGAGGAGGGATGCTGAGCATCATTTCGTGTGTCTGTTGGCCATCTGGATGTCCTCTTTGGAGAAGTGTCTGTTCATATCTTCTGCCCATTTCTTCACTGGGTTGTTTGTTTTTCGGGTGTGGAGTTTGGTGAGTTCCTTATAGATTTTGGATATTAACCCTTTCTCTGATATGTCATTTGCAACTATCTTTTCCCATTCCGTTGGTTGCCTATTAGTTTTCTGGGTTGTTTCCTTTGCTGTGCATAATGTTTATTTATTTTTAAGAGAGAGAGAGACAGAGTGAAAGCAGGGGAGGGACAGAGAGAGACACACACAGAATCCGAAGCAGGCTCCAGGCTCTGAGTCATCAGCACAGAGCCTGAGGTGGGGCTTGAATTCACAAACAGTCGAGATCATGACCTGAGCCAAAGTCAGACGCTCAACCGACTGAACCGCCCAGGTGCTCCACAGGATTTTCAGTACCTTATGGAAAGGAGGAAGGGAGGGTGGGAAGCCCTGAGTACCGGCCTCCGCGTTCCAGGGAGTTACTGTATGACTGTGGGCAAGCCACATCTGTTCCCAAGGTTACTTGCCTGATGTGCTAATCCTATTTCCTATCTCACTGAGGACTTAAGGGAATCAGATGGAGGTGCTATAAACGTTAAGATTTTCTGAAACATTTACAAAACAAAGAGTTGCAAGCCTGCAGATTAAACCTCAAATCTCAGAATATTCTTTAACAGACTACCTTACCGTTAGACCCTCTTTTCTGAGAACAGGTAACAGTTAACTGCCCGGGTCACTCCTATCCGGGTTCTTATCTCCTTCTCTCAAGATCAACCCAATGGCTGTACCACATGACATTCGCGGCACCTACTGGAAGGGCAAGAGCGTTGACCTCATCTTCAAAGGGTCTCTGCTGCCGGAAGTAAGTCTATCCCTCTCCCTCCTCCCCTGTTTTCCACTAGAGTGACCCCAGGACCCTCGGCAGTGTAGACACACAAATGCCCTGTCAACTGTGAAGAGGGGAACAGCAGTGAGCACGAGTGCAGGAGCCCCAACCTGCTGAGTGAATTGAATCCAAGACGATACCCTGAGCAAGGATAAGGAACGTGAGAAAACGCTGGGCTTCGGGCCGACAGGTATGGGGCCGGGACGGACCCACGCCCCGCGTGAGGAAACACGCTCCTAGGGAGGGCTCGGTGTGACTGTTCATCAGATTGCTTACATTAAGCCTCCACGAGTCAGAAATGAAAAGGCCTCATAAAAAGTCTTACTTGGAAAAACAACCTAGATAAGAAGCAAAATAGACGATCGAGCCCTATCTTTGACCCTCCAGTGCTGAAAGCCTGTGGCGGCAGGATGGATGGAGTCGCCCCCGGGGACTCAGCGCCAGCTGGGTCCCCGCGTGGCCCGGCCTGGTGTCCCCGCCGCCACGCAGCCGCTGGGGGCGCCGAGAGCTCCGAGGGCGGCCGGAGGGAAGACAGGAAGAGGCCCCGAGGGCCTTGGGGACCCGCAGCGGCCGCAGAGCCGTGAGCAGACTGCTGAGGGCCGCATGAGCGCGGCGCCCGCGGCCCCGCCGGCGGGCTGGGGGGCGCCCCTGGGGACCCGGCCCGGCCCTGCGCTCCGCTCCCGTCTGAGGAAAGGGCGCACCTCACCTCAGGGAGAGCGGGAAGCAGAGGCCGAGGCGCCGGGAAGGCTTCTCGAATATTCCTTCGGTGCCTCATTCCTTCCGTGCCGTAAGGACACAGCACAGGACACAGGCCATAGAGCCTGGTGACCCACAGAGGACAGCAAAGAGTTCACAGCGGTGAGCGTAAGCCAGCGCTGGGCCCAACTGTTCACCCGCATTTCCTTCTGGAACGGGCATAAAACCCTAAGAAAGGAGGAGGTATTTTTTTATTGACATTTGCTGACAGGAAACAAGGACAGAGAGGTTGAGTGACTTGCCCAAGGAGGCACAGGTGAAAAAAAAAAAAAAAAAAGGAACCAGCAGAACTGGGCCCCAGGGCCCAGGGTCTGTGTCCTTCACCCTCCACTGTCTCATAACTGGCCAACTATGACTGAAACACCAGAACACGAATATTTACTAGGATTCAAAGTCGGAGGTTGGTGGCCTCTCAGGGTTCAGGCTGTCACCCGAGGCTTCCTTACTCCCTTCCGGCACCCTCCCCATGTCCGGGGGTCTCTCCTCACGGCAAGGGGGCCGCCACAAAATGGTTCCCTCCTCCGAGACTTTCCCTTCTCAGGGACCCTCAGGGGACCCAGGGTCCCCACTCCCAAGCTCCTCCAGGCTGGGCCGAGGTTGGCCCCAGGGCTGGGTGTGCTCACAGGCTCCTTCCAAACTGGGGTTCTGTTAGTGAGGAAGAGGAGGGGGCGGCTGCTGGCCAGTAACGTGTTCACTGCAGGCCCCAGGCTGGGAGGGATTTGTAGACTCACGGAGACCACGTCACGTGGGAGGACCCTGCGGTGCCAAGAACCTCAGTGTCTTGTCCCCCCCGGGGTCGCACAGCTAGGCAGGAACAGAGTTACTGAACCAGGTTGCAGGGCAAGCTGACAAAATGTTAAATAATACATGTTCTGGCATCTTGACAAATATGTGCTCCTAACGACCTAGAAGCCCACGATCAAATCTGGAGTCCCGAGCTCTTGGGAGTCCTGGGGCAGAGCTGGCCGCCGGGGAGCCGGCTTCTCCCTGCAGCCTCGCTCCGTCCCGTATCCCCAGGGACAGGCACACGGGGGCGTGCTGTCCATGTGCCTCACAAACCGCCTCCTCTGGCCACCACGCAGGCACGTTTGCACACCTCAAGTGGGTCCCCCTGGGCACAGACCCAGAGAAAAGGACTCCTCCAGCTCTGGAAACAAGTGAACAAAGGAGCACCTGGGTGGCTCAGTCGGCTAAGTGTCTGACTTCGGCTCAGGTCATGATCTCGTGGTCCATGAGTTCAAGCCCCGCCATCAGGCTCTGTGCTGACAGCTCAGAGCCTGGAGCCTGCTTGGGAGTCTGTGTTTCCCTCTCTCTCTGCCCCTCTCCCATTTGTACCTGTCTCTCTCTATCTCTCTCAAAATAAATAAACATTTAAAAAAAGAAAGAAAGAAAGAAAAAGAAACGAGCATGGGGACATTAGGTAGAGTGTCCAGGGCACGGCCCCCAGGGTGCATATTCGAGGCCGAATATCCACCGGTCTCACCCCGGGGGAGGGTCAAAACAGACCCTCTAAGGCATGAGGCCTGGGCCAAGGCCCCTCTCTTTGGCATTACTTGTCCTTGAAGCCCTAAAACCCTGAAATCCTGTGGCAGTGGACCAGAATCTGCCAGAACCATGCCCTCAGGAGGTCACGTGACTCCAAAGACTGCTTCATCCCCACCTGCCACAGGACACCGGGGTCCAAACTGGAACGTGCATGTCCGTTTTGCTACCTTCTGGCCCTTTCTGGACAATTCGACACGCCCCTCATGTTCTTGAGGGTCTGGTGCCGGCCCTCTACTCCTGGTTCTGTGTTCTCTAACAAGATCTGCTAAATGTGAGCAAAAGGAATTCACTGAAAGCTTATTAAGAGCTCATAACGTAAAGGAAAGCTAGAAACCTGGGCTGAGAGACTGAATGGTTCTGGAGGCTTGAGAAACATGAATCGGGAAGGACTCCTGGAATGGCTGTGTCGGATGTCCCCAGCAGCAGCCCCTGAGATGGGGGCTCTTGTCCGCGTGATTGACAAGGGAGGGAAGGAGGGAGCAAGGCAGGACTGGGCCGGGGAAGAAGCTGGGCGAGGATGTGTCAGCCAGAGTCTGGCCTCAGCTCTGGGGAGCTCCAGAGTTGCCCTGCCTTGAGGCAAGGGGGGGGTAATTTTTTTTTTTATGTTTATTTTATTTGAGAGAGAGAGAGGGAGAATGTGAGTGGGGGGGAGGGGCAGAGAGGGAGAGGAAAAAGAATCCCAAGCAGGCTCCGCACTGTCAGCACAGAGCCCAACCTAGGGCCCGGTCCCACAAACCGTGAGATCACGACCCGAACTGAAATCAAGAGCCGGCCACATAACCGAATGAACCACCCAGGCGACCCTGGGGGTTGATTTTTTTATGTATCCGAGTATTAGTTCTTGGTCAAGGAGGCCGGGGGGCGGAGGGGATCCCCCAGGCATTTTCTTGGTGAGGTGGCTGCCCTTGGCTGAGGTCAGATCTTCAGGGACAGGTCGGCTGTAAGCCATGTGCAACCAATATTCACAGCATCTGGGGGACGAATGGGCCCGGAGTCCACCATGGGATGAGTGGTGCTTCGTCCCTCTGCTCAGATTCACAGTCCAGGGAGAAGTGTCTGGCTTTGCTTGCCTCCCATGCCCATCCCCGGGGTGTCTGTATAAAGCTCCCTCGGACTGTGTCCAATGGAGAAAGAAACTGAGGCTTGAGAGAAAACCGAGATGGTATTACGCAGCGGCAGTGGAGGCTGTGGCGCTAACTTCCCCCCCCACACACACCCAAAACAGCCCCTGAAATATTGTTCTGAAATCAGAACCAGAGCCCCATCTTTTCTGCCCCCACCACTAAGCTTAGTAGAACTGACCTCCTCCTCCTGTGGGTCGACCCTAAAAATGCTTGATTCACGTGTTTCCCTGTGTCTCTGCCCCACCAGACAGTGTTCCTTTCTTCAGTGGGTCCCCGGGCCCTGCAATGCGTCCCACACAGAGTCTTCAGTAAATGACCAAGTTAGTGGCCAGCCCCAGTGAGTGTCACGTTCCTCTGTCTGTGCTGACAGCACAGACACGCGTCAGGATGGAGAGTATTAGCATAGGAACATCTTGAGGCTTTCTCCTTCCCCTGTCTGCTGAGGACGACTCTGGCTTTGCCTTCCTGGTTTGTCCCCGCCACAACACCCCCCCCCCAAGTTCTCTCTGGACAGCTGTCTAGGCTCTTTTCATTGTTGCAGTTACTACTGCTGTGAAACAAACCACTCCAAAAGGCAGCGACACAAAACCACCACCTCCGTATCATGATCCTAGATTCTGAAAATCAGGAGTCCAAACAGGGCACAGGAAGGACGTCTTTTCTCTGCTCCACAATGACTGGACGTGCGAATGGCGAGGGGCTGGAATCCTCTGGCGACTTTTTCACCCATGTGCCTGGGCACCTGGGCTGGGGTGACCCAAAGGCTGGGCTCGGCTGGGACTGCCGACTGGAGGGCCTGCCTACCCCGTGGCTTTTTGAAGCTTGGTGGCCTCGGGATAGTTGGACTTCTTGAGCGTTCCAGCTTCCAGAATGCTTCGGGAGTGTTCTAGCAAACAAGGGCTTGACCAGTGTTCCAGTAAAGTGAGGCAGAAGTGATGTGGCATTTTATGACAGCCTCAGAAATCACACAGGGTCACTGTTGCTACACTCAATTGGTCGAAGCAGCCACAAGCCCGTCCAGAGTCGAGAGAAGGAACAGAGCACCCCTTCGCATGGAGGAGCGCTGGGCACTTTGATCGGCAACTAGTCGTTTAAAATAGTCACAGTGAGGGGCGCCTGGGTGGCTTAGTCGGTTGAGCGTCCGACTTTCGCTTAGGTCATGATCTCGCAGTTCGTGGGTTCGAGCCCCGCGTCGGGCTCTGTGCTGACTGTCAGCTCAGAGCCTGGAGCCTGTTTCGGAGTCTGTGACTCCTTCTCTCTCTGACCCTCTCCTGCTCACGCTGTCTCTCTCTTTCTCTCTCCTAGAAATAAATAAAACATTAAAAATAAAATAAAATAAAATAAAATAGTCACAGTGGGGATGCCTGGCTGTCTCAGTTGAAAGAGTGTGCAACCCTTGATCACGGAGTTGTGAATTTGAGTCCCATGTTGGGAGTAGAGATTACTTAAAAATAAATAAATAAGCTTAAAAAATAAATAAAAATAGAATAGTCACGGGGCATGAAGTCAGGAGGAAAGGATGAAGACTAAGGCTTGGGATCCATTTTTCCAAGGAGTCTTGAAAAGGGAGGCGACAAAGTAGCTGCAGAGTAGTGTGGGAGGTGGCCGGGAGGTGGCCGGGAGGTGGCCGGGAGGTGGATGGGGGACAGGGGGATTTTAGGAGGTGTTGCGGAGTGACAGCCCAGTGTGAAATGGCATTTCGGTTGCTGAATCTGTTTCTTTGGTCCCGGACTGACTGACGGGCTCTAAGACTGAACTGCGGTGGTCAGATTTGCAAGCATTATGCAGACCAAGTTAGGGCAGGTCTAGCCAGCCGCACCCAGCCTGCCCCCAGAAACTTTCAGGGTGGCGGCGCCTACTGTCATTTCCGTCATCTTATTACCAAGGGTCAATTTGCGAGGCCATCTCATGCATCAGTGCGTGCCCTGGCATCTCATTTCCCCTTGTGTTCGTGCTCTCTTGCCCCTCCTTTTTCCCAGGGGCCAGATCCCCCCAAGCCTGATCTCATCTTTTGGGTGGGAGGGAGAGGAAGGCAGGACAGAGGGGTTCTCTCTGGAGGATCCTGGTTCCTGAGACAGGCTAATTGCAGGCTCCTTAATTAATGAGCCATGGGGTTGCATTTCATCAGCTGAGTCACAGTTGGTGTCTGGGCCCTGGACCCAAGGGGAGGGTATCAGGAACCTTGGCGGGGGAGGCCAGCCTGTGTCTCTGCCTCTCCAGACCCTGATTCTCTACCCCCTTTCTTTTCTTTTCTTTTTAAGAGTTTATTTTTAAGTAATCTCTACACCCAACGTGGGGCTCGAACCCACAATCTCGAGACCAAGTAGAATATTCCACCAACTAAGCCAGCCAGATGCCTCTACCCCCTCTGTTTTCAACCCCTACTGGTTTAGAGGGTATCAGACTGCCCATCTTCCTCCTTACTCCCGCCTCGGGAGTTTTCCCAACCCCGGCACCTTCCTGGGACAGTCCCCTAGCCTGTCTATCCCTCATGCCTTCCCACCCCACGGGACCACACAGGGTCCATCTGGTTACTGTTTCCCACTCATCCCGTTTCTCTTTCAAACGGGATCTCCCCCAGCCACACACGTCACAAAAACAAGGTCGCCATCTGCAGTGCGGCAACCACAGCTCCGTGGGATGCCAGCCCCCACCGCTGTGACCATGACCGTGGACTGCCAGAGACCATCCCGGGGCCACTCGCACCTGCTCCTTCCTGTGTCCTCTTCCATCAGTGGCCGCACATGACGGGTACTTTTCCATTCACACTTCAACCAGATTTCTCCACGTACATGAAGTTAACTGTGCCGAGTCTTTTGTTTGGGGGAGAGCTTTTATTTTTGTGCCTGGAGGTGTAATATTTTTTAATTTTCGGAAGCTGTGCCCTAGCTTGGTCATGGGTTGTTATTCCAAAATTAGACTATTTTTTATGCCTCTGGTTCTGGTTTGCATGGTGGAGCTGGGCCTGAGCAGAAAAAGGCTCCTGTAGGTTGAGGAGTTGCACCAGATCAGTGCCAGCCGTGTCTCTGCCCTGAGGTCCCAGCTCAACAGCGGGATCCTTAGAGGCCCTCTCGTGACAACATCCAGGCCACCCCTATGGAGGGGACTTGAGTCTGCCCTTTGGCAGCCTCTGACAGCAGAAGGGCACCTCAGGGGTAAGGAGTGGCCTTCAAGTCAGTCAGCTGAGCTCTTCATGGACCTGAGCCTCAGTTTCCTCCTTCAGGAGTTAAGGAATGGGGGGAGGGGCGCTGCCTGGCTCAGTCTGTAGAGCCATGTAACTCTAGATCTCAGGGTCGTGAGTTCAAGCCCCATGTTGGTAGGAGCACTTACTTAAAAGGGGGAGTGGCCCCTGGGTAGCTCAGTCGGTTGAGGGTCTGACTTCGGCTCAAGTCGTGATCCCACGGTTTGTGAATTCAAGCCCTGCATTGGGCTTGCTGCTGCCAGCACAGAGCCCACTTCCAATCATCTGTCCCTCTCTCTCTCTTTGCCACTGCTTGCTGACTTGCTCTCTCTCAAAAATGAATAAATCTAAAAAACAAAAAAGAGTGCAAGGATTAAATGAGGTAATACACATAAAGCACTTAGCACAATGCAGAGCGGGAGGGAGACACTCCGCAATCCGAAGCAGGCTCCAGGCTCTGAGCTGTTAGCAGCTGTCAGCTTAATCAACTGAGCCACCCAGGGACCCCGCCCCCCGCCCCTAAAAAATTTTGGGTGCAAAGTTTTTTTGTTTTTTGAAACTCACATGGGAGGTGGCCTTCCGTCTCCACCACCTCCTTGGTAATATATGCATGATCATGAGTGTGTAAACCACCTGTTCCTGGGCACTCTTTCTGGACACACCTGGCCCATCCACTGCGGTGGGGGTGGGGGGTGATATGGCTTCTCAGGAGCCGCCAGGGCCTTGGCTGGCTGCTCAGGTTGCAGGCCGCTTCTGGCAGGGCGACAAGTGTTCTCTTACTAGTTTTGCCAGAGAATCTTTGGGGCTGGAATCCTGGGAGTGGGGTGGCTGGGTCAGAGGGCCCACGCACACGTAGCTCGGCTAGGTACTGTCGCCCTGCCCTCCTCAGTTTGTACCCCTCGCATTCCCCCCAGGAGCGCGGGGGTGCCCATCTGCTCAGCAAGACACGGTGTTTCAGGATTGTTTTTATCACATTATGAGCAACGTTGAGTGTCTTTGATATGTTTAAAAGGGTATTTGCATTTCTTTATGAATTTGTGTTTTATTTTTATTAAAACAATTTTTTTTACTGTTTATTTTTAAGAGACAAAGTACGAGCAGGGGAGGGGCAGAGAGAGGGAGACACAGAATCTGAAGCAGGCACAGAGCCTGATATGGGTCTCAAACCCATGAACCATGAGATCATGACCTGAGTTGAGGTCAGACGCTTAACCGACCAGACGCTGAACCACCCAGGCGCCCGGATCAGTGTTTTATTTTTAGAAGCTATATATTAACCATTTGTATAATACAAGTCCTAACATATTCCCCCAGCTTGTAATTTATGTTTTTACTTTGCTAATGGTGACTTTCTTCCCCTGATGTACAAGTTTTTTTGTTTTTGTTTCATTTCAGTGTCGTCAAATTTATCACTCTTCTCCCATCCTGTATCTGGATTTTGAATAAGAAGGGTTTTCCTCATTCCTGGGTTCACAGTAACCCCCTCATTTTCCATTTTCTTCTCGTTCCTGGATGGTTTCCTTCTTCCAGGAGCTCCAGCACCACTTTGTAAAAGGTCCATTTTCCCCTTGGTTGGCGATGCCGCCTCTATGTACCTTGAGTTGCCACGGGCACTGGGGTTGCTTCTGGATTTTCAGTTCTGTTTTGTTGGTCTGTGTGTACAACGGTCAGCTCTCCCCACCTGCTCCAAGCTATTCTTCATCTTCAGCATTTTCCTGTTTTTTTTTTCCTCCGGCTTGTTTTTTTCAAATGATCTCAGTATTAAGAATAGTGTCTGATGACAAGGGCAAATGTCCATGAAAGGACGTTAAGGGAAACAGCAGTCAACAGAACCACACAGCATATATACGTACTTTTTCCCTCCCCTACTGTAAGACCTTGTAAGGGAAAAAACAACCCCAGAATGTTTGTGTGGTCACATGGCGATAAGATGCTTACGCGTAGCATCGCCTCACTGGGGCACAAACCTTTGGTGGAGAGAACTCGCCAGCCGCCGCAAGGCTGCCCCTTGTCCCTTCATCCTCACCTCCTCCCCGTGCCACTCTGGAGATCCTATCACCCTTCTGGCCCATGGCACTTCTTTGTAAGAGAGTGAGGGTGTCACTGCGGGGTGGAGCCTGGGGTATGGCCTCTGCTGTACAGCATCTTTGGCTGATTCCTAGCCTGGCCAGTCCCTTCTAGGCTGAACTGGAAGGAAAGACCTTGCCCAAGCCAGTGGCCCTGGAGGCCGGTGGGGGGGGAGGGGGGCGGGCGGTGTGCTAGTGCAGTCTGCAGAGGGGCTTCAGGGACTGGAAGAGGGCGGAGCGGCCACCTCCGAGGGAGGGGACAGCCCTGAGGCGCCCCACCCCGCCCACAGCTGTCACAATGGCAGCTGGCCCAGAATCACAAGCCTGCGGGGCGGGAGGCTAGCAACGGCCTGGGAGCCCAGCGGGCGGCGGCTTCCTCCAGGGGCAGGTGGCTTTGTCTGCAGACCTACTTACAGCAACCCCCGCGGCAGACGACTGGTTTCCTGGGGGATGGAAAAGCTCCGGGCGGCCAGGCGGTCTCGGGCTGCAGCCCCGCGGGAAGCAGCAGAGCGGCCAGGCGCTAAGGCGGCCTGCTCGGCCCGGGTTCCCAGGTGCTGCAGGGTCCTGCGGCCAGGCTTCCGGCCAGGCTTCCGGGGGACGGAATACTCTGTGAGCACTGAGCAGCTGCTCCTCTTCTTCCTGGCCGTCTGGTTCTTCTACTTCTTCTAAGTGGCCCTCCCTCCCGTCGCCCCCGGTGCTGGCGGGCCACACACGGAGGGAGCTGGCCCAGTCCCTGTTGGAGGGCACGGAGTGGCCGAGGGCTGGGGCTTCAGCCCCACACGGAGGACAGCCAGGATGCAAGGCCGCACTGCTCCTTGGGGATGGAGATTTACGGCCCAGCAAGCCCAGGGCTGTGCACTACAAATGGGCTTGGTGCCGAGTAAATGGTACAGGAGCGGGGAAGACGTGCGCCCCACAAACCTGCCGCCGGCGAGGGGGCAGCGGGCCTCATCGAGGCTTCGCGGTCCCGTGTCTACTCAAGAGTCCGACTGCGTGTTTACTGGTTAGCTGCTTTGTGCCTGGCCCGGGCTCTGCTGAGAAATAAACTGCCCTTGGAACCGGGTTGGCAGCGAGCGAGATGTTGTTCCCGTTTTCTAGGGACGAGAAGCTGCCCAGCCAGCCCTGCTTAGTGCTGTTTCTGGGAAGGCTGGTGAAAGACCAGGTGCTTTTGGGGGGCTTTTCAGAATAAGATAAAGGGGCACCTCGCTGGTTCAGTTGATAGAGCATATGACCCTCAATCATGGGGTCGTGAGTTCAAGTGCCATGTTGGGTGTAGAGCTTAAAAAAAGAGAGGAAGATGAAAATGGATGCATCTCCAAGGATGTGGGTGTGGCTCCACCTGGTCACAGGACAGGAATGGTCCACACCAGCGGCTCCCAGGCCTGGTTTCCCACCAGAGCCTCCTGGGGCACGGGAGTCCATTTGAAATGCAGATGACCAGTTCCCTCCCGCTAGAGGGAAGGCAGCTCTGTCCCATCTGGATGTGCCTTATGTAGGCCCCCTCCAAGTGGCTTCCTCTGGCCCCCTGGTGTGAGGCACACAGGCTGCCCCTCAGGAGAGAAGGGCTCCTGAGAAGTGAACCTGCTCCAGGGAGGCTCCCCTGAGGCCACCACAGGCTGAAGGAGCCACCCCCCACCCCCAGCGGTGCTTTTGCTCCAAATGCTGGGGCTTTTCTTAGAACACAGGCAAGCAAGGAGGGTAAGGCCAGGCCATCTGAAGCCAAAGAGCACACAGGAGCCCCACCAGCTGAGAGGCAAGCCCAGCAGTGCAGACCCTGAAGTCGGGTGAGGCTGCGTGAGGGAAGGAATTTCCTCTGAGGATGCACAAATCCCCCCGGGAATCTCTAACCTCACCCCCAGATGTCTAAATTCCTGGGACTAGAGTCTGAGAATCAGGTTTTAATCAGCTCCTTCCTTTCCAGGGCAGGGGCCGTTCCCTGGGGTCCCCCTGGAGCACGAGGGGAGGGGAGGGTAGCCAATGGCCCTGAGGACTCAAGATGAACTCGAGCATCTACAGCTGCCCCCTCCTGACATCCTCACGGGCCCGGGGAGCAGCCGGACTCATTTTCTCACTGCCATCCTTCCAGGGACTAGAACCTTCCCTTTCCACAAGGAAACACTTGTAGGAATACACGTTGTCCCTCTGAGGCGCCACAAAGCTGAATTTTGAATGAAAACAATGCAGCCTATAAACAAGTGCTCCCCGCCCCCCCAAACAGCCCTGTGCAGGAAAGCTCCGTACCCCTCAGGGGGCAGTGCGCCAGCTCCACCAAGGTGCCACACCGGCCCAAAGGAGGCTGCCAACCCGCCCCACACATACCCACGTGCAAACCCTGACACATGCCACGCATCTGGAAATGTGACTTCTTGTCCCTTCAGGCTATTGACCTGAATTGCAGCTGGACGGGGTTGCAGTGACTGCTGGCGGCTGCCCTGTGACGGTCCCACTTTGTGTGGGTGCTGGTGGGGGACAGGAGTATGACGACACCGACAGGCACTCTGTCGGGAGGAAGTCCACAGAGGACAGACGTCAACCATCGCTTTATTAAGGCTCAGAGTCATCTGCCAGTCGGGGGCTGAGTCATTCACCGCAGACTCCAGCCACGGAACCCTTCTGGGTGACACAGGGCGGAAGCCACCCTTGGGCTCTCAAGCCACGGTTTCTTGTGCTCCACTCATGTCCATCCCGCAGGGCTGGGGTGTGTGTGCAGACATCAGGGGGCTCTCGGCAGGGTGGGGCTGGCTCTACCAAGCCCTGGGCTCTGGCAGGGGGGTGGCAGGGAGACCTCCCCTATCCCTCCCGGCCCAAACTATGGCTTTATTACCCTACTGCCACTTGAGCAGGAGTGCAGCGCCCCTCCCCTGTGCCCTGCCCCCACCCCCCCAAGCTCTGGAGGGAGGCAAAGGGAAAGCCCCTGGGGAACAAAGGGCCCCTCTGTGCCTGGGATCTGGCCGGAGCTCAGGGGCTCATGCCCCACCACACACACACTCCCTCAGCAACTCCAGTCCACAGGTCTCCGCTTGAGGCCGGTCACTCAGAAGTGGACACGCAGCACGTCCTGGCTGGCAAACGGACGCTGGCAGGCGGCGCACGTCATGGGCAGGGAGCGCTGCTTCTCGCCCAGGCAGGGCCGGCACAGGAGGTGGCTGCAGGGGAGCTGGTACACCGGCTCCTTTTTGAAGTAGGGAGAAAACGCTCTTTTGCAGGAGGCGCACTCGGGCCCCGGGGTGCTCCCAGGCTGCTCTGGTGACAGAGGGAGGAAACAGGCCAAGGTGAGAGGAGAGCTACCCCCTGGGCCAGGCTCCATCCTGATGGCGGGGCATCAGCCTGACCGTGGGACAAGAAACCTCCCCGCCCCACCCCTGCAGCAGCCATGGCTTTATCCCTCCTGGGGCCACGTCTGGCTGCTCCGGGAGGACAGAGTGTCGGGGAGCCTGGAAACCTGGGAGGCCTCCCCTCAATCATCAGATCTTGGTGCTCCAGTGAGTGCTCAAGAAAAGCTGGCATCTGAGGGCCGCACTGAGCCCTCCCTCCCGGTCTGCGGTCTCCGGGCGGGATTTGCTTTCCCCTGGGACAGGCTGCTATGGTCAGAGTGAGGCACAGGCCCATCCCGACAATGTAAACTACAAGAATGGCGAGACGACCCAGAAAAGGAGACAGCAGACAGTGATGGGCTGTCGCAGGGCTGGGCAGGACCACTGAGGAGGGAAGGCGCCACGCGGGCAGGACTGAGGTCCGTGTGCAGCTGCCCGCCGAGCCTGGCTCCGACTTCTCTCCGGCCCAGCAGCCCCCTCCTGACCTGTCAGTGCCCCTGCGCTGCAGGCTCCCTCCTTCCCCGCTTCCCGCGCTCCTGCCTCCCGGAGCTGCACCTGCTGCGCTTCCTTCTCTCGTGCCTCTAGCCTAAGGAAGCCGCTGTCTCCCAGAGTCCACGCCCCTCTGGAGAGGGCAAGGGTGGCCTTTCGGGGGAAGAAAAGAAGTCAGCCATACAGAAAGAGAGGGACGGCAAGTACAAAGAATGGTTGGTCCAAAACCAAAGCAAAGCCAAAACAAAACAAAACAAAACAAAAGAATGGCTAGTCCATCAAAGAAAGACGGGACACAGAGCTGTGATGGCAGAGACTGGCTTTGGGTGAGGCCACAAAGGGGGCAGGCTGGGGCACGTAGGACTTCACCGGCAGCAGGGTCTTAGATTTTGTTCCAAGATCAGTGGGATGCCTCGGGAGGAGTCTGAGAGGTGGAGTGCCATGCGCTGGGTGACATCACAGGGGAGAGTGGCTGCCGGGAATGGCAGGGGCCGCTGTAAGAGATGGGGAGAGGGGGACGGCACAGGGGCCAGGGTGGCAGCAGAGCGCTCGGAGGTCCACTTTGGAAGAGTACGAACAGGACTTGAGGATGAATGGATGTCAGGAAGGCTGAAGGACGCCAAGGACAATCTCCACATTACAGGCCTGATCAAGGAGAAGATGCTGCTCTTCACCGGCAATGGGGTGACGGGGAGTGTCTGCAGCTCTGAGTTAGAACTTCACTCATGATCTAGGGGCGCCTGGGTGGCTCAGTTGGTTAAGCATCCAACTTCGGCTCGGGTCATGATCTCACAGTTCATGGGTTCGAGCCCCGCATCGGGCTCTGTGCTGACAGCCAGCTGTCAGGAAGGAGGGGCTGGCATCAGACACTGTAGGGAGGGGCAGGGGGAGCGACTACTGGGCCTGGAGCCATGAAAACCACCGGTCACCTGGACGAAAAGGTTCTGGGCGATGGTCAGGATGGAAATAATCAGAGAGACAGGGAGGTAGGGATGAGAAGAGAGCTAAGAATGGCCTGGCTCTGGATGGGCAACAGGAATTGGGCATACGCCTTATCACCGGCTCCTTCAGGCTTCGTCATGTAAAAATTGCCCAGCATTCCGGCATGTTCTCTCACCCTGTTTCCTAACTGATTCTATCATCCTAATGTGGTTCACTGTGGGCAAAAACTGCCTCAGCCAAAAGCTGCCACAGCTCTATTCTATTCTTTTTTTAAGTGTTTTATTTATTTCTGAGAAAGAGACAGCGTGAGCAGGGGAGGGTCAGAGAGAGGGAGACACAGAATCCGAAACAGGCTCCAGGCTCTGAGCTAGCTGTCAGCACAGAGCCCGATGTGGGGCTCAAACCCACGAACCGCAAGACCACAACCCGAGCCGAAGTCGGACACTCAACCGACTGAGCCACCCAGGCACCCTTGCCACAGCTCTATTCTAAACATTGGTGAAACTGTTAACAGGAAGGGACAAAGAGGAACAACCCCCTCCCCTCACACTTACATGAAATAAACTGCCGGGCTGTCAGATGAGAGACAGACTAAATACCAAAAACTAACCAAAGGAGGAGAAACAAAAGTCCTCAGGACAGAACAATTAATATTAGATCTTACCAAAAACACTGCAGAGTTGCCAAGCCCTAAGTCCACAGGATTACCAAGAGTTAACTAAAGAAAGCCCTCTTTGTAAGAGTTAAACTTCACAGGAGCCCCTCAACTCTGCTGGGAAAGGAAAGAGACAGAGTCTCCCTGAGGCCCGGGGCCAGTGCTAAGGAGGCTGGGCTGGCAGTCGGAGGAGCCCCGGAGGCAGGGGTCAACCTCCCGCCCCTGGGCTCTGAGGAGATGGATAGGGCCCCAGTTACCCGAGGTGGCACCTGGCCTCCAGGAGGCGCTGCCCTCCCTTGTGCCAAGCTGCTGGAGCTGTCCCCGGGTCAGCCGAGCCGTGAAGGAGGGCATGGAGCCAAGGGTTGACGTCAAGGCAACTTCCAAGCTCTGTGACAGCTTCTGCTCATGGGACACGGGACCTGACAAGAGATGCACAGACCACGATATGCAGAGAGAGGTTCAGCAAAAAAGAAGTCCTTGGAGGACAAGAACAGCACTTCTCACTTGGAATGGATGCAAATATAAAGAAACGCCTCCCTGATGTCTGCTAGTGGATTGTGAAGACGGAATACCAGCAGTTAAAGCCCTGGGGCCCCTCCCACCCATCCTACACACCACTTTCAGGGTTCCTGGGCTCAGCTCTAACTTTCCCTTCCCGGACAGACCGCTGGGCAGGCCTGGGCCACCTCGTGGCTCACCTGCAGAACTGCACCCTACTTTCAGAAGGTCTTGCAGGCCAAGGAGGTGCCCCGCGTTGTGCCCGTTCCCCGTCCATACCCTCGCCAGCAGCCTTTCCTCATCTCCTCCCTTCTGGGGCCCCACACTCCCTGCTCTGCGGGGCCACTGGCCTGCACTCTCTGGGCAGTCATTTGCGTCCTCCCTCTCCTGCTGAATAAAGCAAAGTGGTCATCACCAAGAATGACAAAGACCTCACTGCCCACTCCACTATCTAAGGGACCCTCTCTGTGTGGTTCACAGAAAGCTGCACAGTAGGCTGAGGACGAAGGCAGTGGGAGAGGGAGACAGCAGCCCAAAAGAGAACCCAGAGACCTGCCTGGCATCCGGGTTCGCAAAACTGCCCCCACATTTTGTGTACAGTGTGTAGGGCCTGCTTGGGGCCTTGAAGCACAGGTCAGCATGGTCCCATGTCACCAACAAATCTGACCGTACAGACATCGGGGTCGAAGGACCTTTCCTCGTCTCACCCTCACTGCACCTCAGATGCATCCAGGGGTTTCCAGGGGTCAGGTTAACTAAAATCCATACTCAAACCCAGAGAAGATGCAGATGTAACCTGTAAGTGCACTATCTGCACAGGGTTTTTACAGTAAGAGAGGATATTAAAAGAATGATAAAATCTAAACATTAATTTTCATAAGGAAAAAGAAAGTGTCAAAGACTTATCTCCAAAAGCACCAGCACTAACAGTCATGGGCAAATTCTATCAAATATGGAAAGAGGAAATGATTCTAATACTCTTACACTGTTCTACAGTTTAGTAAAGGAAAACGTCTTAATTCTTCTTATGGAGAACACAAATCTTTGGTAACAAAACGTGACCAGAGATGATATGCATACATGCATACTTACATACACGACACATCAAATTCTTTATCCAAAATAAAACGCTAGCAAACAGAACCAAGTAGAACATTAAAAAGAAGCATGACCAAATGGAGTTTCTTCATTACATGCCAGGAATGTAATAATGGTTCAATATTAAGAAGCCTATTAATGTATTTTTTCACATTAAAAGACCTAAGGATGAAAAACCATAGTATCATCTCCATTGATCTTGAAAAGGCATTAGATGAAATTCAACCACCAATCTTAGATAAAAACACTGAATTAAGAATTTTTTTAAACATTTAAAAACATAACTGAATGAAATAGGAATCAAAGGTGTGGGAGAAGGTCTGAAATGGCTTCCAATGAGACCCACCTCCAGAGACTCACGCCCTTGGGCCCCCCCTTCCCCTTGAGTGTGGGCCGGATCTAGTGACTTGCTTCTAACAGAATATAGCAAAAGTGATGGGATGCCACTTCCACAAGACCACGACTTCCACCTTGTGTGTACACTGCTACTGTGTTATGTGGCACCCTTGAGAGGCCCAGGTGGCCTAGAACTGAGGACAGACTCAGAGTCTGCTGGCCATCAGCCAACACGGAGGACAGGCCCTCAGACCAACAGTTCAGCCAGGAACTGAGTCCTGTAACAATCACGGGAGGGGGCTTACACGTGAATCCCTCCCCAGTCAGGCCACGAAGTGGCTGCAGCCCCAGCCGACACTCTGACAGCAGCTGGAGAAGACCCCGCAGCAGGTGACGCAGCCAAACTATCCTGGATTCCTGACCAGAGAAGCTATGAGATAATGAATGTGTGGTGCTTGAAGCCAGTAAGTTCTGGGGTAACATAAGGTGGCAAAACATAAAGTAGAGGGCAGTAGTGCCACATGTCACCCGGGAAGTGCAGGGAGGGCAGTGGACATGGACGCAGGGTGTGGATTACCTGTTGAGCAGTCCATATGCGTCAGCCCAAGCTCACTGGCAGCTTTCATTTTCTTAGCGGTGTGCTCTGAGGTAGTGGGTGAGACCAGAAGGCTTGTGGTAGAAAAATAGGAAGCATTTACAGCAAGGCTACTGTCTGGGGCATGTTCAGTCTGCTCCATCTTCCTTTTCCGAGAGGGCAGAGCAATGGAAGAAGGTGTCACCGCCAATGCAGTCTGTGCTCTCCCAAGCAGGTGGCAGCCCGGAATGGAGTGCTGCAGCAGGAAATGGTCGATCCGGGCCTTCAAGGAGGGGTGAGGCAGGGGCTGGGAGTGTGGAGTAAAGGCTACACCCGTGAAAGGGTCGCTGGGCACCCGGCCCCAGGTGGCCTCACTGTGGTTACACTTTTCCAGTGTGCTCTGGTCGATGACCTTGCCCGAGGGCAGCAGCATGGGGCAAGGCATGATCTCCAGGGTGATGGGGTCCAGGAACTCCTCCGGCACACCCTGGATGACCTCAGCTAGCTCCTGCAGGCTGGAAGGGGCCGGCTGGCCCTCAGGCAGGCCTCCAGGGTCACAGTCACTCTCCATGGGCAGGGCTGGGGCCTGCAGAGCCAAGCCCTGAGGGAGGCCCTCTGAGGCAACCAGCAGAACACTGTCGATCACCTCCTGAGAGCAGGTTTTAGCTGGCTGACCCCACACTTCCAATCGTTTAATGCATGGGATCCCGCTGCCCGTCATGTGGGTGATACAGATCTTGAGATGGGCCACGTGGCTAAGGGAAAGCGGCCCTTTATTCCAGAGCTCCTGGGCCACAACAGCGGGAGAGGGGAGTGTGGCTTCCATTGGGCCAAAAGGTGGCCTGGCCTTGAAACCCCGGTGGCTAAACACCACCTGACTCTGGTTTTTCAACAAAACTTTGCCTACCAAGGTGAACGCCTCCTTGTCCGGGATGGATTGCTCGATGGGGCCTGGGGTCCGGCACTCGGGGCCATTCCAAGATGCTCTGCTGGATAAGGCAGATGTGTACACTTCCAGGCCTGCCCCAGCTGTGAGGTCTATGTTAATCCTACAGATTTCCACACTGAAGGGAAAGGAAACTGTCACGTAGACTGGTGGCTTAATGAAACACTCTGTCCTAAAACCATGACTTCTCTTTGTCAGGTCTTCGGAAATGAGATTTTCTACTTCATAACCATCAGCTGATATCTAGAGTTAATGACAAACAGGACACGCATTCATATGATGAGATCCAAATGAAGACAACTTGTTTTCAAGAATTTGCTACCTCTTAGAAAAATTAAATTTTTTAAATTTATTAAATTTTAAATTTAAATTATTAGAGAAAGTCTTAAATTCCTCATTTAAACTTTCCTCTATTACACTGAATTCACCACGGCTTTTTTGGGGGGAGGTACTCAAGGTCATCAGGTCAAGGGCTGAGGGCAACCATGTCCCCAAGCACAGCCCATCCTTGAAAAATATGAGCAACAAAAGTCTGCTCAACCCAGATAAAAATCCCTTCAAAATAGTCTGTGAGAAAAAAGGACAGATATACTAATGATTTTTTTTTTAGAGGATGAAACCACAGAGATTTAGGGGAAAACAAAGATGTTCATTACTGTTCTTAATTTTGTATTTGGACCCTGTAAGTTTCCCCAGCACAATGAACAATCTTGTGAATCTATTATGATTGATGGAATTCAGTGAAACATAAAGGTGGGGGGGCACTTCAGTGGATCAGTCAGTTAAGCATCTGACTCTTGATATCAGCTCAGATCAAGATCTCATGGTCATGAGATTGAGCCCCGCTTTGGGCTCTCCACTGAGCATGGAGCCTGCTTGGGATTCTCTCTCACCTTCTCTCTCTGCCCGTCCCCTGCTCATGCTCTCTCTCTCAAAATACATGAACATTAAAAAAAAAAAAAATGTGTTCAGAAACAGGGGCCACAAAAGACTATAGGAAATCTAGAGCAATGAATATGCTAGGGGGTGGGATTGTGAGTAACTTTTCCCCCTCTTAATATTTCTAATATTTGTTATAACCAGTGGAGATTTTAAGATACAGGTATGCCTCCCTCTTCCTGAAACTTGACATCACACCACTTTGCTTTTACAGAAGGCCTACATTAGCACCTGTATTTGCTAACCAATGAAACCCAAAGAGAATTTGTACTTTTACAAAGAAAAGTCTTGGTATCACGCTAACCTAGGTCTCTTGTAAAAGCAAAGTAACCCAACGTGAACTTCTGGAAGGCAGTGGATATTCTTCACTTTACGCCATTTCAGCTTATGAAAGATTCTATAGGAATGTTCTTTTCAAATAGTAGGGGAAGCCTGTGTCTCTGTACGAAGAAATCAGTCTAGCAATCTGGGAACCTGAAACAGCATGCTGTGTGCAGAAGCTCAAAATCAGGGGAAGGTTCAATTCTCCTTTTGCAGTTTCCTTACTCCTTGCTCTGGGCTGTGGAAAGATAACCTCCTTTGTACAAAAGGAGAAGCAACTTAGTTCAAATAAAGAAGAAGGAATCCAAATAGAAGTCATTCTTTCTAGCGTGAGAAGTAAGCGAGAAGAACGGCGGGGGAGAGAGTATTTCTACCTTCACTGTGACTCTGAGTGGAATTAAATTTTATCATCAGAGGGAAGAGCACAATGAACATGACCCCCAGAAAATGAGCCACGGCTCCCCTTGTAACAGTGCTGCATGATTCTAGGGGTGCAGCCTGGCCCATGCTTACCTAAATATCACCTGGTGAGACTTAAAACAGTCAAGGTGAAAGCACATTACACCTAAATTAAGTCCACATACACAAGGCAAGACATGGGGGAAAGCATGAAAAATAGCCATCGTATATTTATGTGCATATACTTGTTCTGTTTACCTTGTTGCAGGAAATTCTTGGTCTGAACTGTGGGAGGCAAAGATTTATGACCATCTTTGTGGCTGAAAGGGTAGCTTCCAAGCATCAGAAATAGCCTTGAATAAAAAATAAAGCTTGGTATTAGACAAGTTAAAGTTCAATTCTAAAGTTTTAGGAGTTGATTCCTACGGGAAGAGACTCAAATAGGGTAGCAATGAATTTCATGCACATGGCAATGTGTGCAGATGGTTTATATACAGTCTCACTGTATCATACATGTGATGCCGGGGGGAAATGAGTCACCGAAAAATTGCAGAGGGGCTTTTTTTTTTTTAAGTTTTATTTATTTAAGTAATCCATACACCCACCGTGGGGCTCAAATTCACCATCCCGAGATCAAGAGGCGCATACTCTTCCAACTGAGACAGCAGGGCGCCCCCCCAGAGGAGCCTTTTCTTGCAGCCTGAGCAGGTTGGCCAAGACTACGGGTCCTCTGGCTGACAGCTGCACCCAGTGGAGGCAACGGCCTGTCAGTTCTGGAAGGGGCTCCCCATGGAAAAGGAGGGTCAAAAGAGGCAGAGCTCAGGGGCACCTGGGTAGCTCAGTCGGTTGGGTGTCTGACTTCGGCTCAGGTCATGATCTCACAGCTCGTGGGTTTGAGCCCCACATTGGGCTCTGTGCTGACAGCTAGCTCAGAGGCTGGAGCCTGTTTCAGATTCTGTGTCTCCCTCTCTCTCTGATCCTCTCCTGCTCATGCTGTCTCTCTCTATCTCTCAGAAATAAATAAAGCATTAAAAAAATAATAATAAAGTGGCAGGGCTCAGAGAAAGAAGAGAACTACTCAGCCAGGGGGGTTGGAACAGAAAAGATTGCAGAAAGTGGTGCTACACATCTTTGTCATTTAACACCTGTCAATTTTTTTTCTTTTAAAGTCTGTTTGTTTGTTTACGAGACAGAGAGAGAGGGAGAGAGAGAGAGGGCGGGAGGGAGGGAGAACAAGCACACATGTGAGCAGGGGAGGGGCAGGGAGAGGGAGAGAGAAAGAACTCCAAGCAGGGTCCACAATGTTAGCACGGAGCCTATCATGGGGCTCAAACCCACAAATCATTTGATCATGACCTGAGATGAAACCACAAGTTGGATGCTTAATTGACTGAGCTACCCAGGTGCCCTGTGATTGCATTTTCTTATTAAAATGAAAACAACTGGAAGAGTCTAAAACATCATCATTGAGAAACAGAAAATCTTAGACTTGGAAAGCACCTTAAAAGGACATCTAATCCAAACAGCATTTTAACAAACAATGTCCAGGCTGGAGGAAATGGGTGGTTAAAACATACTAACATGTAGTTTTAAGTTCTTTAAAAAATTTTTTTTTCTTTTTAATGCTTATTTTTGAGAGAGACAGAGGCAGAGTGTGAGCAGGGGAGGGGCAGAGAGAGAGAGACAGACACAGAATCCAAAGCAAGCTCCAGGCTCTGAGCTGTGAGCACAGAGCCCGACGCGGGGCTGAAACCTATGAACCATGAGATCATGACCTGAACCGAAGTCAGACACTTAACCAACTGAGCCACCCAGGCGCCCCTGCAGTTAGAAGTTCTGAGGAGGTAATGTACAGCATGGTAACTAGTTAACAATCTTGTAGTGTATACTTGAGAACTGCTGCTGTGAGTAGACCTTAAAAGTTCTCATCACAAGAAAAAGAGCTGTAACTATGTAAGGTGATGGATGTTAACTTACTACAGTAAGCATTTTATAATATATACAAATACTGAATCATTATGTGGTACATCTTAAATGTATTCCATGTGATATGTCAATTAACAGCTCATTAAAGCTGGAAGAAAAACAAAGATCAATGTCCAACAGCCTTTGGTAGTCATTGTAGGGAAGCAGGGAAGCCACTAGAAATATTCCTCCTTGCCAAAGGCGCTGAACTCTGTGGGTGAGGTCAGCCAGCCAGTCTATGCTTTTCCATCTGGCAGAGAAGGCCATGAAAAACTCTTGTTAGCCCAACAGGGAAAGGGCCACCCTCTGGGGTCTGTGTTATCATGATCAATAGGTGCTACTTGCAGAGGCCAGGCACATTTGGCATCCTCCAACATTAAAAAAAATTTTTTTTAATGTTTATTTATTTTTGAGACTGAGTGAGCGCAGGGGAAGGGTAGAGACAGAGAGAAAGACACAGAATCCGAAGCAGGCTCCAGGCTCTGAGCTGTCAGCACAAAACCCAATGCGGGACTCAAACTCACAAACCATGAGATCATGACCTGAGCGGAGGTCAGATACTTAACCGACTGAGCCACCCAGGAGCCCTGAGCATCCTCCAACATTTTAGCAGGCCGTTTCTGCACAGTGAAGGTCTGCCATGGGACCTTTAAACGTTTATTATGTCAGCCTTGTCCCTAACTCAGAGTTTTACATTAGACGCAAAATATTTTTTAACATGGCTTTAATACATGCTAATTTTCTAGAAGGGGAACTTCTATGCAGATCATAGGAAGACTGTATTTTGTTTTGTTCAGATCAGATTTTTACAAAGAGGTATTGACCATTTCTGACAACCACATCACCAAGAGTGATGCTAATATATCTGACAATCTACATTTGTAGCAGTCTGCATTCTAGGTGATTCTACATATTAGTAATAGCTTCTGATTACTTCATTATGCCTTACAATATGGTCATAGCTGAATATTTACACAGGAGAATAAACTTATCACACTTAAAAAACTTCTTTTATATCACTGCTATGGCATTTGTATGTATACGAATATGTGTATACCTGTACACACATACCTGCACACACACGTTTTTTTTAAAAAGTAATACATATAAGTAGTTTATACTATTATTTTCTTTGTTTTTTTTTTTTATTTTATTTTTTTCCCTAGGAGAGAGAGAGAGAGAGAGACAGCGTGAGCAGGGGAGGGTCAGAGAGAGAGGGAGTCACAGACTGAAACAGCCTCCAGGCTCTGAGCTGGCAGTCAGCACAGAGCCCGACGCGGGGCCCGAACCCACGAACCACAAGATCATGACCTAAGTGAAAGTCGGACGCTTAACCGACCAAGCCACCCAGGCGCCCCTACAAAATATATTTTTGATACTCATAGTCATGAATGAAGATGATTGTGGAATGGAAAGAAAAGGTCACATCACAGTATCAAAACTCAGCTCTGACATTGCTTCCTGTGGGAAGGCTTCTCCCATTACNCGAGATCATGACCTAAGTGAAAGTCGGACGCTTAACCAACTAAGCCACCCAGGCGCCCCCCGTCTTTAAGTCTTTTAATGTATATTTATTTTGAGAGAGAGAGAGAGACAAAGAATGTGCAGGAAGGGGAAGAGAGAGGGAGACAGAATCTGAAGGAGGCTCCACTCCAGGCTCTGAGCTGTCAGGCGCCCCTAGAGGTGTTTCATTCCCGGCTCATGGGCCACATGGAAGTTCTTGGTGAAGCTGTTTGTGGTGGGGCGAGGAGTGTGGTGATGGCTGTAGCTGGGATTTGAACATGAGAATGGTCCAATACACTGCCTGCCCTAATGAGCACCTCAACGGGGATGTACAGAATAAAGACTAAAATTACGGTTCCCGGCTGATGTGTCCTGCCACCTGGTGTCCCGTGAGTTCTGAGGAGCCACTACATTTTCATCAGTGTATTACATTTATCTTTGCTACAGCTGAGGGTCCACGCTGCTAGGCAGTCTGTCAGATGGTGATTTGGGACATGAATGCAGCAGCCATCAGGGGTGCCAGGCAGGAAGCAAGAGGTGTCCCTTAGGCTGGCATTACAAAGCATTTAACGTGGATGGGCTGAACAGTCTCCACAAATATTCTCCTAAATTAGATTTCGGGAAGTGCTGTGCAGAACAAACAGGCTGTGTCTGGTCAGATGCTTTAATGGTTGGCTAATGGAATTAACAAACTCTTGTAAAGGTTGAAAAGCCTCATGAGCAAAGATGCTAACCTATCTAAAGAATTTCCTCACAAAACAATTTGAGGCTTGACCCAATACGTGTTGGAAGGGACAGTCAAGGTTCCCACATCTCTACATTTAGAGCATAGCCACATTAAGTTTGGGAGAACTAATTTAAAAAAAAAAAAATGAATGATACCCAAACCTGACCTAAGTAAGAGGAAAAAACACAAAGTCGTAAAGTGTCCATATATGTTCCTGGCAAATCCTTCAAGGCAAATGGCGTCCAAGTTGATAGTAACCAGGGTGGTTTGGAAGGTTTGGAATCTCAGTCCCAGCTTAGCCTCTCTTTAAGCCACAGTTTCTTCATCTGCAAAAGAAAGATATCAGGATCCACTTTAGGGCTGACCGTTGGTAAGATTAAAATGGACTCAAATCCCTGGAGGCCGCCTCTGAAATATTTAATGCATGTGCCGTTCTAGCTGGAGTTGTGTTTTGCTGCTAGAGGGTTCTTGTGTCATGACTCACTAGGAATCATTTGTGTCTGCTGGGAGTGCAGGTAAAACCTTGTAAGCTGTCATTTTGATTGGAGGGACAGTCCTGTTCTCCCCCCATCCGGGGTCTGAGGGAGGATATTTAAAGTTACAGGATGGCTGGAGTCTGAAAGCCCTTGGACTCTTGCTCTCGCCCTGGTCACCCCTCCAGTCCCAGATGGGCCGGGCTTAAAGGCAGAGTGCAGGCTGGTCCCGACGGTGGTCACTTCTGGGCAACTTCGTTTCACACTGCCGTTTACAACTGAGTTGGGTCCTCAGATTCTAATTTTGAAAACTTTTCCATGTGGCCTCATACTCACAGGTGAGCCCTTCAGCATGGCTTGAACCTGCCCAACTGTTCTGTTCTGGCATTTAAGTTCTCAGAAAGACTGACCTCATGCCATGTAGAATAAATCAAAGTTAGAAGACTGCGGTGTGAAATGTCCAAGAAGGTAACAAGGAAATAGGAAGAAGGTAAATGTTCATGAAATCAGTGCCTCCCACTGGGAAATCAAGTCAACACTTCCAGGAGCTGACATTATCACTCTGCCAGTTGGTTTTAGTCCCTGAAAGTTGGAGGGAAGAAAAGGCCTAAGGAGTGCGCAGGGAGGTGGAGGTGATGGCACTCAAGGGGCCCTTCACCTCACTGTCAACCACCTCTCAGTGTGCTCACGTTATAGCACAGTTTCTGCTTCTTTGCTCGTTCTTACCGAGGCCCTGTCTGAGCCATCAGGGCAAAGCTGGAGGAGAGGGCTGCCTGCAGCAGGTGCAAGCAAGGCCTCTTGAACCCGGAGCCCAGAGGCCGCACTCACCGTCTGCTCAGGGCCAGCCCAGTTCTGCACTTGCACACCTCTGTTATGTCACCCTCTGTGTCACTGTCCGGTTTTCCTTTGGCATCACAGGCTTGCTTTTCCAGGAGGAAAATTTTGTTTCCTAGGTCCGAGCTTTATATTCATTTTACTACTTCCATATTCAGTTGAAATCAGTGGTTTAATTGTACATTTAAAGCAAAACAAAAGCTTAGTGAGAAGCCACTGCCTTAGCTGGGCAGGAGAACTGAGAGCAATGCTTCTGTGAGTGTGCTCTGGTTTCCCGGCCAAGAGGAAGTACAGACAGGGACCCTGAGAATATCTGCAGGTATTGTTCCTCATACATTCATTTTTGAGTTATTGAGGAGAACAAGAAAAATACCAGAGGCCAGAGACATTTTCCTGGGGTGGGGGGTGGGGAGAAAGAATTCTGTAAACTAGTCCATGTTGATTCCAGACCAGATTCTAGAATATTCTGACAGAGGGATGGCATATATGCCTCAAACAGCAAGAAGTACTAAGAGTTTCAACACAGGTTCACTTTAGGCCAAGGGTCTCCATCAGGCTCATCTCCCTCTTTTAATACTATCTGGTAATATTCTTTCTACTGTCCTGAACTTACAGTCAAACATAATACAGGGGCGCCTGGGTAGCTCTCTCGGTTAAGCATCCGACTTCAGCTCAGGACACGATCTCACAGTTTGTGAATTCGAGCCCTGTGTTGGGCTCTGTGCTGACAGTGTGAAGCCTGCTTGGGATTCTCTGTCTCCCTCTCTCTGCTCCTACCCACCCCCCCTATAAATAAACACTAAAAACTTTTTTAAAAAAGAAACACCTCTATGGCTGCTGTTTTATTAGGTTGTCAAGATGATCATTCTTTACTCTGCATAGTATCTTCTCTTTAAGACCCATGAGAAAGTTCTTTTTGGTCTCAGTACTAGGAACAGTTGTTTTTCCAATCAACTCAATATTTTATGGTGTGAATATGAATCATATAATCGATCATGATCTTTACTTTACTTTTGGCCACTAGAAAGCTCAGAATAAATCTGTGGCCCATCCCTCCAGTATTCTCTGCCTAAATTCTTCACTTAATTTTATGTCATAGTGTAAATACATTGTATTTTACAAAGCTACCTTAAAGTCATTATGGAATAAGAGAGAGTAAAATTATTGACAAACCATTCTCCTTTTGGACATTTAGGATGCTGGCAAGTTTTTACTACTACGATATTAAGATAAAAATCTTAAGTCGATTTTTGTCTTAGTATAATTTTGACTTTTTTTTTTTTAATGTCTATTTACTTTTGAGAGAGAGAGAGAGAGAGAGAGAATCTGAAGCAGGATCCAAGCTCTGAGCTGTCAGCACAGAGCCCAATGTGGGGCCCGAACCCACAAACAATGAGATCAGACCTGAGCTAAAGTCGGATACTCACCTGACTGAGCCACCCAGGCACCCCTGACTTTTTTCTTAAGAGATCCTGCATGTTTCTTGTTAAAGTAACTGTTTATTAGTAGGATCGTGTTATCCCATTAGTTTTCATAACCAGTTTTGTTATATATAGGAAACTTTTTCATTCAGGTATCTATTATGTGTTCAGTTGGCTTATTAAACCAATTGATTTTAACAGATTTTCAGTTAGGTTTTTTTGGGGGGGGTGTTCTACAATCTCAATAGTAATGAGAGCCTCTTTTTCCAAATGGTAACTCTTACTTGTCTCTCATCTTACTACATTAGCTAGAACTCCCAGAATTATATGAAATAACAGAGTTGCCATGCTTGTTTTGTTCCCATTAGAAAATGCTTCTAGTGTATCATCTTTGAAATAATGCTGATTGAAATATTCTTTTTATGTTAATAAAGCATTCTAATTTTCAGTGTTTTTTGAAAATCAGGGATAGGCTTTGAATTCTGATTTTCTCTAAATATTGAGTTTTATTATTTTTCTTATCTGACAGACTAATGAGAGATAGCACATTTTTCTAATTTTAAACCATCTTTTTATTCCTATTTGGTTATGGCAGATTGTTCTTTCAATATTTCTCAAATTCTACTGAATTTGATTGCTCATATTTAGTTTTAGACAAGATATTACTGCACATTCATATACACTTATAGGTCCATGCCAGCACTGGAGTACAGAGATAAAAATGAAGTGGTCAGGGGGCGCCTGGGTGGTTCAGCTGGTTAAGCATGTGACTCTTGATTTCAGCTTCAGGTCGTGATCTCACAGTTCGTGAGATGAAGCCCTGGGTCAAGCTCTGTGCTGGCAGCACGGAGCCTGTGGGATTCTCCCTCTCCCTCTCTTTCTGTCCCCTTGCCTGCTCTCTCGAGCATGTGTGCGCACGCACTCTCTCTCTCTCTCTAAACATTTAAAGAAGAACTTAAAAAGGAAAACGAAATGGTCAAGTGGTGAAACCATTCTGTATGATGCTGTAATGGTAGCTGTGTGACATTAGGCATCTGTCAAAATCCACAGAATCATACAACTGAATGATCCTTAAGGTAAATTATCAACTTCAGTTAATAATAATGTATCAATATTGACTCCCCAATTGTAATAAATGTGCCATGCTACTGCTGAGATGTTACTAACAGTAGAGACTGGGTGCAAGGGAGCTGAAGTATATGAGAACTCTCTGTATTATATGCTTGATTTTTCTAAGAAAACCTACCTAAAACCACTCTGAAAAGATAAAGCCTACTAATAAAAAGAATAGGGGGAAACAATTTGAGATCGAATTGAAACAAGGGACTGTGCCAGGTAAGAAGAGTGGCAGACCCTTTATAAAACCTCTTACAAATGATAGTATCTGTTTTGTTGGGAAATAGTGATGTCCAAACATTGTAGGATTCTATAGGACTCTGGCTGCCATAAAGGTCTCTGAGTGATCTTATCACCTCCCTGGTTCCCACATCCCTGATCTTTTAAGGTCAAGTGCCTCCTGCCTTAATGCTTAATCCAGAAAAACAGAATGGCTCAACATACTGGAAACGCAGATAGCATCACCCAGGAAGGCGCTCCACAGCCCTGCCTGGGAAACGGCAGGTTACATGATAAACTCTCACAAATACCTATTTACTTACAAATTTTCTCCAGTAAATACTTAAAAATGAGAGCCTCCTTTTCCATTTCTGGCATCTTAGTACAAGAGAGACTGGGTCTAAGTATAAACTGGAGGCCATGGATCATGGCTAAACTACTCTGCAGCTCAGAGAAGTAGCCTGGAGCTAGACAACAGAGGTATTTATAAGACAGTGAGATAATACAGGTTTATAAGCAGATAACATACACGTAAATTTTATGGCTGGCTCAGTTGGTAGAGCATGTGACTCCTGACCTCAGGATCATGAGTTCGAGCCCTATATTGGGTATAGAGCTCACTTAAATAAATAAATAATTCTTTAAAAATGGGTACTTGGCTGGCTTAGTCAGTAGAGAATGTGACCCTTGATTTTGGGGTTATGAGTTTGAGCCCCATGTTGGGTATAGATATTACTTTTTTTTTTTTTAATGTTTATTTTTGAAGGCAAGAGAGACAGAGCACGAGCAGGGGAAGGGCATAGAGAAAGGGGAAGACACAGAATCTAAAGTAGCCTCCTGGCTCTGAGCTGTCAGCATAGAGCCCGATGCGGGGCTCGAACTCACAGACCTCACGATCATGATCTGACCCGAAGTCAGACGCGTTACCAACTGAGCTACCCAGGGGCCCCTATAGATATTACTTTAAAAAAAAAAATTTTTTTTAAGGGGCCCCTGGGTGGCTTAGTTGCATAAGCATTCAACCTTTGGTTTCAGCTCAGGTCATGACCTTGTGGTTCAAGAGTTTGAGCCCCACATTGGGCTCTGCATTGGCAGTGTGGAGTCAGCTTGGGATTTTCTCTCCTCTCCTCTCTCTGCCCCTACCCTGCTGGTACGCTCTCCCAAAACAAATAAACTTTTAAAAATTAAAAAAATAAAATAAAATCTTAAAACAACACACAAGTCAATTTTCATTACAGTGATTTCCCCCCCTTTTTTAAACAA